GGGAGAAATGCAGTTAGAAAGGAACAGACAAGGGGCACCTGGATGGCTCAGTTGGTTAAACATCTGCCTTCAGCTCAGATCATGATGCCAGGGTCCTGGGATCAAGCTCTGAGTCAAGTGGGGATCCTGCTTCTCCCTCCCCCTCCCCCTTCCCCTACTTGTGCCTGAGTTTGCTCTCTCTCTCTCTGGCTCTCTCCTTTTCTCTCTGTCAAATAAAACATTTCTTAAAAAAAAAAAAAAGGAACAGACAAAAACAACAGAGGCAACTTTTCTCCCTCCTAAACTTCATTGAGGGAAAAAAAAAAAAAAAAGAAAAGAGTTTTCATCAAATGTCCGACATATAGTTCATAGGTTTATTCACCCTATAAAGATAGTGAAGACTTCTTCCAAAATAGATGAAACGATTAGCCTGTGAAGGGCTGGACATTTCTGAAACATTTTTGAGGAGGAACTTAAAACATTTCAAACAGTAACCTTACATCCCCGTTGTTCCCAAGAGGGCATTAGAAGAGCCCAAGGGGACCACCAGGGAACCCAATGGATGAAGAGACCCCCAAGAAAGGAGGAGTATCAGGCAATGATAGTATAGGATCCAGGATGCAATTCTTCCAGGGTGAAGACCACAGGAGGAAGATTCCCCCATTAAGCCACCCTGATCCTTAACACAGTGCTGCCTCCACAGAAGCAGGATGGAACTTGTCCTGGTGCTCCTTGAATTAGGAGATACTCAGGGCTTTCTCTGGATTCAGCCCTTCTGCTTTAATGGGAGACATGCTCCCCTAGGAGCAGCATCAAACAGTGGGTGCTAACAAAGCAGCAACAAGATAGGAAAAAGTCCCCTAGAAAAGAAGTAGTCGTGCCACAACGTTATGCCGAAGGCCAGCCTTTTTCACTACATCACTTAGGGCATTCCCCACCCTGTTTTAACTTCCTTGCAAAGGGAGGTTGCCATAATCACTTCCACCCTAAAGATACGAAGCCTAGGCACAAGAAGACTAAGCAATTTGCCTGAGGTCATAACTAAAATCATACCAGGAACTGGCAACTAAATGCAAGGATCCCAGGCTTGGAAAAAACCTCCAACCACACTGCTCTCCTAAGGGATAATTTATGAAAAGAAAAGCAAAATCATTTTGTCTTTTGAAGCTAAGAATTTTGAGGTCTAGTGCCATTAGCTCAGCATTTAAGACTTCAATATTTATGACAGATGTATCAAGGCCTACTGGTATCTCTTTGAAAACATTGTTCTTCCAATTAATTTTATTAAGATTTGAGAATTTGTGTTCCAAAAATGTGTTTTGTAGAGAAACTTCACAAGATTTTAGCTTCTTATGAAGTAGTTCATGGATCAAAAATCTTTGAAAACCAAAGTCTAAAATGGATTAATACTTTCTACATAGGGATAGTCCGTAACCTGGAAATGCCAATGCAGTCTTAGATGAAGAGCAATCCTTCTTCTCTCTCTCTCTCTCTGACTCTCGGTGATTGGTATCATATATAGACCTTTGAAATCTTATATATTATGAACCCAATATCCTAAATGTCAAAAAGTAGTCAGTAGGTCACTTGACACTCTAGTGATTTGACAAAATTCTGTGCACAGAAATTAAAATCCCAGGCAAAAGAAATGCCAGGAAATAAACTCTTAGCTCTCCCCACTTTATAGACAATATGCTACCTATGTAACTTATTCTATAAAGAAGGGATTTAAATCATCACTCTCCCTTGAGATTCTGTGGAGAGCATGGTCACAGAAGAGAGCAGTGGCTATGGGCCCACACTAGCAATAATGCCCTAATATTAGCAATTATGCCCTAATATATTAGGAATAATGTCTAATAACTACAGAAACCTATTGGAGGTATTTCAGTACATGTAAGAATTTTTTATATGGAGGTGGTGCGGGACTAGTACATCATGATGCTGGGTTTCAAAGAGCATCTAGTTGCTTTAGTGAGGAAAGTGTTCTCAAATTGATTAGGCCCTGCCTGCACTGAAGTAGGACATACGCCACATCATGGATGAATTTCAGGCAGAACCATAGAAGTGCTCTCACTGGAATTACCAATGCAAAGATTGGGAAAATTACTCCTCGGTAGTACATGTCAAGTTTTATGTTGGAATTCTGATTCACTCCCAACAGAAACACTAACTTTCTCTCTTATCACCTCTGGGTATGCAAACAGCATTCTAAGAAAGACATTAAAAACTCAGATCATAAAAAAATAAAAATAAAAAAAAAAACCTCAGATCATATTAAGGGTGAAGAAAAGCATAGAATCTTTTGGGGTCGTGTGTTCATTCTGTTAAAAAAATATTTCACCAACTAAAGTTAACTGAGACTCCTCTCCCTCAAAAGAAAAAGAAAAAAGGAAAAGAAAAGAAAAGAAAAGAAAAGAAAAGAAAAGAAAAGAAAAAAAGGAAGGAAAGGGGGAGGCGGTTGGAGGGAGGGAGAGTGAAGGACAGGTAGGTGTCTTACTTCCTTAAATACTGTCAACAATCACAGTATTAAGACTTTCCTTTTTTTCCAATTACTCATCACACCCTTTGCCACAGAGCATTTAACTTCTTAGGGTTTTTTATCCCCCCTTTCTTTTAAACCTACCACCAAATTATGATTTTGTGAGGTAAGCAACAGGTTTATAGCTTTTACAAATTCCAGAACTAAGATATTTTATTGACTGAAAAAAAAAAAAAACAAAGCATGGAGTAATACACAGAATGATTCTTGTGTGTTCTTTAAGCATTTCCCTTGGTTCTTAAATTCTAAAGCCTAAGTATGAAACTTATTATGTATAAACAAGTTTAGCTAATAAGAATAATTCTTAGTAAAAACAGCTTACAGTGGCAAGAGCATACAGAGGGGAGAGTTGTGGCAGGGAGACTTTTCCTTTCCATATTCTACTTTTGGTATTGTTAGAAACTTGTATTTTTTTGTTTGCCTTCTTCCGTAATTTAATTTTTTTTTAAATACAAAAAGTTCAAGAACCACTTGGAGAACCACCTCCACCACTAACGGCTTCTGAGAACCTCTCCAGTAGAGGGCACGGTAGATTCAACATTGAGAATGTGTATTCTCCAGCAAACCAAACTGTGGTTTTGCTGTGCAATATTTACAACCTATTGCATTGTTTCTCCCTCCACCACAGAATGGAAAATATGTGTCATCTTAATGTTGAGCCATCCCATTTACCTAAAAGCCACTTGCAACAACAAAAAAAACAAAAACAAAAACAAAAACAAAGGGGAGTCATCAAACACTGTAGTTTTTGCTTTAAATCTATGTCTGCTGCCCTTATAAATGACATTAGCAAGGCAATTTTTTGACTAAAAGTTTTATCAGTCTGAAACAGGTCTTGCCCTAACTCTTCAAATCACTTTACACACAGAAATGATCAATCATTACACAGTGACTTATCAATTGACCTCATAATCTTCAGGAAAAAACTAAATTTGCTGCCATCAGTTGTCAATCAGAAACGGTTTATGAAAAAAAGCAAATAATTACATTAAACACAGAAACATCTAAAATAGTCTATATTTAAACAGCTGTTTACTCAGATACATATATATTCACTTTTGTGAATATATTGAGATGATTTAACTTCCCTGGCTTAGAGATCTCTGAAAAAGTTTAAATGGCAAGCTGTTTTCCTTATTTGCTTATTATCCAAAAAGCTTTTGTTAAGTATCTATTATGAGCTTAAGCCTTTACAAATCTGACACATCATTTTTTTTTTTATTTGTGATACTCATACAGAGAGAGAGAGAGAGGCAGAGACACAGGCAGAGGGAGAAGCAGGCTCCATGCACCGGTAGCCCGACGTGGGATTCGATCCCGGTCCCCAGGATCGCGCCCTGGGCCAAAGGCAGGCGCCAAACCGCTGCGCCACCCAGGGATCCCTCTGACACATCATTTTGATATTTTAATCATATTTGCACATTTATAACCTAATTAACTGAGTTAAACCTTTAATGATGTTCTCCCTTGAATAGCTATATTTCCTTTTTCACACATATGCAAATTTACAATGCCAAACTTCTGTCCTTTAGAATTTACAAAGGCCCCTCACATGAGTCACATAACGTCTAATGGGATTGGCAAAAAAGATGCATTACTTTTAGCACAAATGAGAAACTGGGGCTCCAGGCGGTGTGATGAGACCGTCCCAACAGTTACTTAGCATTTATTGGTTAAGCCAAGACTCTAATTAGGTCTCCAGACGCAGGTCCAGCTCTCTCTCCTTGCTGCTTCTTTATGAGAACTCTTGGACCTTCCACTATGAATGCCTACTACCATCCAAGGTTCTAAGTGAATAATGTATTAAGGTTTATACTGGCAAAAAAAAAGGGGGGGGCTATTTATCACACGCATTTAATAAGTATTGAATAATCAGAACGTGGAAACTGATGGAAACACGATGCAAAGTTCTTTTAGAGACAGAGAGTATATGCATGAGAAAAATAGCATTCTTACATTTCACAAACACATCTTGAAGCATTTATTACTGAAATCCAAATGTTTTTTTTTTTTTTTGTCCTTTCCATAATGAACTTCATGGCTGTTCTCTTTAGTAATAATTGCAGATTTTACCCTACGCGTCAACTACTGGCAGCTCACTGCACGAAGTTAAACTAGCAGGTCTAATGCAAAGCCCGGAGAGTATCTGTAGCCTAATCAATACCTTGCTGTGACTCTTACTTTGTACTTAAGGGCTTGATGGGGAAACCATCTGAATATCCCACTGTACGGTTCTGTGACCTGAAATCAAGGAATTAACTGTGTTGAGGTCATCGATCGTGGACCTTCTCCGTTTGTCCTTCCCACTCAAAAACACTTAAAGCCGCCCCTCGCAGAGATGATTTTTGAACGATCACCAAATTATGCAAGTAAACCCTTAACGTCTTCTCCTCCTCTCTACCTTCTCCTCCCTCCCCGCACTTTGCAAGTTATTAAGTGTTCTGGTAAATTCTAAGCCAAGAATGACTCATGAGGAAACCCTGCGTCCTTGCACTCCCAGGACGAGGATGGCTCTGGCGCATCAGTTTCCACGTCTTGGGGTTTCCCTCTGTCTCCTCGTGAGGAGAGCTGGGCCTTCTGTCCTGGAAGGAGAGTCACCCAAGGATTCCGGAGAAGGAGCTTGCAACCCCACGGGAAGACCCAAGCACGCGTGTTTCGGTGAGCAAGACTGCCCTGCTTACCGTTCATTCCCCGCAGGGTTCCGGGATGCACCCCCCACCGGCCGCCCCAGCCCCCCTGCCCCCGCCCCCCTGCCCCCGCCCCAGGCCCCCTGCCCCCGCCCCTGCCCCCTGCCCTCCCGCCCCCGCCCCTGCCCCGCTCCTCCCTTGCATCTTTTCCTTCCCTCCCAACTCAACGGAGTCGCACAGCGGAAGAGGTGAGGGTCTCCCCGCAGCCTCAGTTTGCAAGAAATGAGGCGTGCAAAGAGGGCGCGCTCTCCAAAAAAAAAAAAAGAAAAAGAAAAAAGGGTGGGGGGAGGGGTTGGAAAACATCTTAACTCAAAATAAAGCAATCGCACTCCAGGTCCCTCCCAGCAACCTCTCCCCGCCGGGGAATCCGCACCCCTTTAGGGTCGGGAGCGCTGCAGGGTGGGGGGGAGCGAGCGCCCCCTCCGGCCGCCGGGGGCGCGCTCCGCGACAGAGGTCGCCGGCCGTGGCTGGCGGCGGGCGAGGCGTCCCCGCCCGATCCCACACCAAACCGCGCGAGCCGCGGCGACGGGCCCGAGTGCGCACGAAGCCGGAGCCTCGGACGTCAGCGGACCTCGCTTCGAGACCCTTCGGCGGCGCCCGTGACTGCCGCAGGCCCGGCCGCCCGCCCCGCCCCGTGCCCGGGTGCACCGGCCAATCGGCGCCCTCGGGGGGCGGGACCGGCGGCGGAGGCCCCGCCCCCTCCCCGCCACCGCTCATAAGAGCGGCGGCGCGCGCCGGGCGGCGCAGAGCGGCGGCCCCGGCGGGAGGTGGAGGATGCAGAGTGCCATGTTCCTGGCTGTCCAGCACGACTGCGGCCCCATGGACAAGAGCTCGAGCAACAGCCCCAAGAACGAGGAGAAGCGGGAGAAGATGAAGCGGACCCTGTGAGTACGGCCCTCCGCCGCCCGCGCCGCGCTGCGCACCTGGCGCCCCGGTGTGCTGCACACGTGATGACTGACGTTAGGAAACTATGTGACCCGTGCCCCTGCGGGGAAAAACAAAAATGTGGAAGAGGGCAGCTGGCCAAGTAAGGTCAAGTCTGTATGTGCACCGATTTTGTTACGTGGGCAAAGGACTCGGGTAGTTGAGGACCGAGAACATGTTTGATGGGGAGGCGGTGGGGGATGAGGAGGCTAAGGAATCGCAGGTGGGCTTTTGGGCCCCTGCGTTTAAGGTAGCAGCCGAGAATCCTGGGGCCGAAGCACATCCCCAAGCACTGGTGGTGCCTTGCGTTAGAAGTTCTGATCAGCTTGCACAGCTTCTGGATCGGAATATTTTGGCTGGTTCTGAATATATTCGTTTTAAAATCGCTTTTGTTTTTTTAACTGAATGGCTTATTTCACCCACTAAAGATCGTGCAGCAAATCATCGTTATGCATCATCTGCTTAAAATGAGTGTTGTAGTTGGGCTGGGGCAGGGGAGCTCAGTCTCTCTCTCTCTCTCTCTCTCTCTCTCTCAGACACACATACACCCCCACCTCACGGCTTCTGGTGTGGTTCAGAGGCTCTTACTCTAAGGGTAGGAGGGAAATGAACACCCACTGGCTCCAAGCAGTTCCAGTGTTAGGTTTCTTCAAGCGTGAAATGTCTCAGAATTGTAATTAAGGCTGCAGAAAAACTGCGGTCTTTTGTGGGCCAGAAATTGCATCTGTCTTTTTGAAATATGCCATCTAAATTCATTTGAATGTCGTAGGTAGACTTACCCTTGGTTATGAGAGTAGTACTTCTGCTCGGATGAATGGACGAAACTAATTGCGTTAAGCACATAGGTGCTAGGTTTAAATGTAAAATGAGTAAGACTGACTTGAAGATCCTTGTTGCTACTGGGTGGCTTTATTTGGTAAAAATGCCTTCAGCTGCCATAGCAACTCCAAATGTTGTCACTTAGTGAATATCTTTTTTTTTTTTTCTTTTTAAGATTAAAAGATTGGAAGACCCGTTTGAGCTACTTCTTACAAAATTCATCCTCTCCTGGGAAGCCCAAAGATGGCAAGAAAAGCAAACAGCAAACCTTCATCAAGTAAGTTGAAAATCTTGTATTTGCGAACATGAATAGCTAGCTGCTGAGCTGAAAAGAGGAATTCCGATGTGCACGAGCTAATGAGCAGACCTTCTTTTGCAGGCCTTCTCCTGAGGAAGCACAGCTGTGGTCAGAAGCGTTTGATGAGCTGCTAGCCAGTAAATGTAAGTTAACCTTTTGAATTTGATCCATTTCACAAGATATCACAAATATCACAAGAGTCCACAAAGGTGTTCACAACAGAAAAGCAGATTGCTCAAGGAGAATTCAAATTTGCAATCACTAAAGATATAATGCCTATTTTTCTCCTTTATTTTCTATTTAACCATAGAAATACATGGTTTCTTCACTGTAGATAGGGAAGGAAAAGTAGCCCAAATTGTAGGGGCAGTTGCTCTTCTTTAAGGTTGAATTGAATCAGCTTTTCCATTGCATATAAGGTTTCCAGGAGGTTTGGAGCCCAGAGAATTTAGGTTCCCCTATAAGTATTTGCATTAAAAGCAAAGTTAAGTATATTTTGTAGCAGTGTGCCAGCTTATGCATTTTGCCTATTAGCATCTTAGTCTTTAAAAGGCTAAATTCTGAGGGTTACAAGTAGTTTGAGTGAAATATAGAAAATTGCCATCATTTAGAAATAATAAAATACAGGGATGGGAGAATGGTAGTTCTGGAAAAATTTTAAGGCATTAATTGGTCACCCAATTTACATTCTGCATGTTTTTTCCCCCCTTTCTTCCTCCCCAGATGGTCTTGCTGCATTCAGGGCTTTTTTAAAATCTGAGTTTTGTGAAGAAAATATTGAGTTCTGGCTGGCCTGCGAAGACTTCAAAAAAACCAAGTCACCCCAAAAGCTGTCCTCCAAAGCAAGGAAAATATATACTGATTTCATAGAAAAAGAAGCACCTAAAGAGGTAAGGGAGGCAAAAAAGAACTTCAATTCAGCATATTTTGAATATTCTTAGCACCAAAATGAAGCAAAAAGACATTAAAGGGGGGAGGGACAAGATTGTTTCAAGAAACTAATTCTAGTTTTTAATTCACTTAATTTCATTTCTTCAATGACCTGGCTAATGAAGCTCATCACACATTATAGTTTTTGCTTCTTGTTTTCAACGATTAAATAGGTATCAGTCCCTAGCTTTGAATATGGAATAAACCACTTTTTTTTTTTAATTTCAGATAAACATAGACTTTCAAACCAAAACTCTGATTGCCCAAAACATACAAGAAGCTACAAGTGGCTGCTTTACAACTGCCCAGAAAAGGGTCTACAGCTTGATGGAGAACAACTCTTATCCCCGTTTCTTGGAGTCAGAATTCTATCAGGACTTGTGTAAAAAGCCACAGATCGCCACAGAGCCCCATGCTACATGAGACGAAAAGGGGAGCCCAAGAGTGGAGGACATTTCATTTTGTTCCTAAGGGGAAAGGCTTTGACCTTCCAAAAAGACTGACCTTGAATTTAGCCTGGGTGTTCAGGAAACATCACTCAGAACTATTGATTCAGAGTTAGTGAATCAGGAAGCTGGTGACTGTGTAGGAGAAGCTTGTGTTGGGACGGCTCCCGTAGCTCTGTCTAGAACCCAGGGAGAAAGTGGTCTAACTGTGGTGTGTCTCACTCACACTGGAAAGGCAGGAATGGGAGACCCAAAGGTCTGATGTGATACTGTTGGTCCAAACACATTTAAAATCAATAGGTCTGGGATTATGTGGCCTTAGCTAGCTGGCTGTGTATCTTTCCCTAATTCAGTCCATTACCACATAGTGGTTTTAGTTTTAGTTATTTAGAATAAGTAATATTAAAATGTTTACTGTGTGCAAGGGTGTTGGAAGTTCATACGACTACAGATCATCAGTACTGTTGTCTCCTGTAACACTAAAACTGAAATGGTCTGAATTGTTAAGTGTTATAACAGAACGAGTGCTGTTGTGTAGGAAACTACGTTGTTCATGATGAGTGCCAAAAACTGTCCTGAAGGCAGCTAAACTTTGACGTGGTCTTTGAATACTTTTAATAAATTTATTTTGATAAATAATGTCATTGACTATTCGGTTCAGACATGGGGGGAGGGGGTTGTGGCTTGTGAGGGAGGGGAGGAGTGCTGTTAATACGGCAGCTACGAGAGAAACCTTTTTCCAGTAAAGGAGAGGTACACCAGGTGATGTGCCTGTCGAGTAAGAATTGACAGTGCTCAGAAATGAGAAGTGATAGGAGTATGTCTTCCCTGCAGTTAACGTCTCTTTTAAACCTAATAAACATTAGGTAGACCAAGAAAAGTCAGACCGCCTCCTTAGAACCACCCTGGGATCAGACTTTCTAATATAAGCTTGTTGTTAATGAAAACAAAAACCATTGACCTTAAAGCCCTTCGTGGGTATCTACTAAAGACTAGCTGAGAAGCAAAATAACGTAATGGAGACAAAGCACCAGAATAGTTCACATAACTCAGCTTCTCAAATGAAAGAAGAAACCAAATAAGGTGAATGTAGGCCTGCCTTTTTTATTTCCCCTGGTTCCAGGCTCCCCTACAGGGTACTGGCATGAACTTCCAAGATGCATACCTGAAATTGTTCACCTCCATGATCAATACAAAAATCAGAATTTTCCTGATTCTCCTGCTTCCTTTGGCCAATAAAGAAACTGATTATGTTATGTCAGCTTATGATGAAGGCAAAAGAAGCACACTTGTTCTTAAACTTCATCGAGGAATGTGCTCTTTTCCTAGTCAAGGGTGAAAGGACTAGAATCTGTTATTTTTTCAAACCGGTTATTTAGAAAAGGAATACTCTTCTTCAGTAGGCTTCTTTTCCAACTTCCTTGATTATAGTCTTAGAAAGGAGAGAGAGCCTTCATCTCAGGTTTGCAAGACCTGAACCTAAGCAATAATTTCACATAGCTTTATGACCTTGGGAGTCCTCATCTTCCGCAGTTCCTCAATGTACATCTTCCTGTCTGTCCCACTGCCTGGGAGGTAGTAAGGGGCTTTAAAGCACTTAAAAAAAAAAAAAAAAAAAAAGCATTCTGATTCGCCAAAAGAAAAATTGACAACACCATCACCTCCCCTACACCACTACCCCCCACCCTATAGTTTAAATACTGTTTTCATTGTGCTGGCACTAATTTCCATTTTACCCAAAGTGTCTGGTGTCAACAGGCAAAAGCTCCATGAAAGACTGCGTCTTCCACTCCTGCAACACCACCAGCCAGGATAATACATAATAGGTGCTCTGTAAACAGTGTTTGAATAAATGAATTCTGAAGGGTTATTGAAAGAGACATTTCTTAAGAGAATAAGTATCTCAGGTCTGCATATGCCTTAATTTGGGAAGGTTTTGGCCAACAGAGAAACTCAGGAGTCATGCCGTATATTCAGTTGGCTACCCAGTCCTATTTATATTAGCTCAAATATATTTCTAGCCTACTTTCTGTAGCCACCCCGATCAAAGATGCCAACAGCTGATGCCTGCGTGACGGAAATGGTCTCTACTCCCCTTATTCTTACCCCTACTTCTATGTGTCCCTTGCTTTTTAACTCTGGGAATCCTTTCAAAACAAGTGTGATTTTGTCTCTTATTGCTTATAAACCATTGACAGATTTTCCAAACAATTAGAATAAAGGCAGTCCCCTATATAGCCTAACACCTGCATGGCTTGACTCCTCCTTCCACTCCAACCTCGTTTTCCCAGCTCTGCTGGCCACACTGGCCTACTTTCGTTCCCGTTGTGGGAACTATGCCCCTGGTCCCACAGAACCTTTGCACGTAATAGTCCCTCTGCGTGGAATGCAATTTTAGCTTTTACTCATCATTCATAGATCCAAGCAATTGTCACTTCCCCAGGGGAAGCTTTCCTTGACCTCCTTACCTAGGTCACATCCCTTTTTAGACATTCTCATAGCACCAGGTTCTCTAATTTAGAGCGCTAATAAAATTCTCAGTAATTTGTATGATTATTTGATAATTCTGACTTCTCCCCCAGATCGTGGATAGCAGAATTTGAAGGCTGTGTCTTTTGCTGCTCATTCCTGAATCCCAACACCTAGCACCTTGCCTGGCACACAGTGGAAGCTATATAAATCATTGCTGAATAAAAGAAGGCGTATTAAAAAGTCTTGTAAACAAATTTTGGTGAAATAAGAAGTATCTACAAATGCACAAGAAAATAAGTACAAGGTTTTAAAAGGCCCATAAGCTCAAATGTCTGAAAATATCTGTAGAGTTTTTCTTTTGGCAAAAAATAAATACCTCTTATTCAGCATGTTCTCTGTAACTTTTGGCCTTTGATCGAAGGAGAAGCCAGATTATAGTAACCAAAAAACAAGAGTTTTGACTTTTTCAGGGCTGCTAAAAGCACAGGCTTTAATCAGGTGGTATTTTTCAATGTTCTCTAGTGTGGAACAAACAGAAACAGATTTAAGATTAGAAGCCACATACCTCCACAAATAAATATTACTTAATGTTCTAGTTTCTCAGAGTTCATATATTTAGGATCCACAGTCTAATCATTTTTTTAAAGATTTTATATATTTATACATGAAAGACACAGAGAGAGAGAGAGGCAGAGATACAAGCAGAGAGAAGCAGGCTCCATGCAGGTAGCCCGATGTGGGACTTGATCCCAGGACCACTGTATCACTCCCTGGGCCAAAGGCAGGCTCTAAACCACTGAGCCACCCAGGCATCCCCAGTCTAATCATTTTGATAGTATTTCATCTTTTCATATATTTTAAGCTCAGGAGCATTTCAAAATATAGCAATCTCATGCACTGAAAAAAATAGAATTGTGTATTATTTTCATGTGAGCATAGGGAGGCAATATATGAGTTTCGATGACATGGCTTAAAGTGATCACTCAAAATTTCATAGGAAATGGGTCTTTGGTAGACTCGTTTGATTTACCACAATGATCAGTGCTGGCGCTGATTGTCTTACAGATGGGGGTGCACTGTGCATTTGGACTTTAGGACAGCCCTGCCTGTGCCAAGCACTACCCTATTTCTCACTTTGTTCTCCTGTGTTAGCCCAATCACAGATAAAAAAAAGGAGTTAGTCTGACTTACAGAGAACTTTGTTACTATTAAACAGTGAGCTTTGACCTGCACGGAGATTTCCCTATACTGACTTCGATGCCTTTTGACAACCTTGGAAAACAAGTTTTTATGTTGTTGTTAATGGCAAGGAGATGAGGGTTTTTTTCAGCATTTTAGCTGAGGAGTAGCTTGGAGTTGCTTGAAGTGACAATAAGAACCCCCCCCCCAAAAAAAAGAGCCAAAAGAGCTTCTCCTGTGGCCTGAAGGGTTAAAAAAAAAAGAGAGAGAAAGAGAGAGAGAGAGAGAGAATCATCTACAACATAAGAGGTATATTCTAGCCTAAGGTGATCGAATTAAACAGAGGCCTGATATTAGCCCCTTGGGGCCATGATCTAGCACGACCAGACCATACTCTGTGTGGAGGATGGGGCCCAGTATGGCTATAGAAGTGTAACCCAGCACCAGGCGATAGAGGCTTTGAATATTAAAGATTGGGATTTTATTCTGAGGTAATAGAGACCAATCTCAACTAAAATGTATAAAAATAGCTTGGGTGGCAATTTGGAGGATGCCCTGGAGTCAGGGAGATGAGCTAGGAGACTGCACTAATAGCCCAGACAAGAAACACCATTCCCCTAAACCAGGACAGTGCTACCCAGTAAATAATTCTGTGTGACAATAGCAGATTATACATCCCCTACTCTATGCAGAACACTAGTCTATGCCATAGAGGGAATAAATATAAAGACATGTAAGACATACAGCTTGTCCTCCAAGAGGCACCCACTAAATATCTCACAAAATAAGGGGCACGTAGGTGGCTCAGTCAGATTAAGCATTTGACTCTTGATGTCAGCTCAGGTCTCTATCTCAGGTGTTGGGCTCTGTGCTGGGCATGGAGCCTGCTTTAAAAGAAAAGAAAAGAAAAAACTCAAACAAACAAAATAACGTACAAAAGTTAAAACATAAGATGGGCTATGATTGGTGACTAGTTACCAAAAGAGAAATGCAAATATCGTTAGCTGAAATCAGTCAAGGAACAAAGCATTTTTGATGAGATTTGAAGAATGAGTAGATTTAATAAGGATGAAGGGGAGAGTACTCAGGGTGGAGAAACAGTTCAAACAAAGTTGGTACAAGACTCGATCCTGCATTGTACCATGACATTTTTGTAGGCAGATCTTTCTTGTAGGGGTGTATATTTGAAAGCTAATTCGTTGATTCATTATTTTGGCAAACATTTCCGAAGGGTTTATCTGGGCAAGGAAGATGTGAAAGTGTAGAAGAAATGGTCATCTCCTGAGAAGGACAGAAACTGGAAGACTGGAAGCTCAAGCTCAAAACTAAAAGCCACACTTCATTTTTCTTAAAAATGGATTCCAGTAAGATTATCAACCATCCTAGTCAACCGGATCTAAGAAATCTTCCTTCAGAATAGCCCAGGCATCTTTCCCTTCTCCTATTACAGCCAAGCGTACACACCATGGTCGTCATTCTCTCAACTGGATCAGAATAGACCTCAGGTTCTCCGTCCTGCTTCTAAAATTCATTCACTAGACTGCCTTTTGGATGGATGCTGAGTTCCTCAATCTCTCTTATGACCAGAAAAAATATAAACTCTCTGGTATCTCCCAAATCAAGGTAAACTCTAATACCGAAGGCTAAAAATCCTCTACTATTTGTTCTTTCTTCCTATCCAGTCTTATTTCTCACCACTGACCAGAAGCAATCAAAGCTGGATTTCTTACTGTTCCTCAGGTATACTATTTCTCTCCCGTTATTAGATCAAATCGTTCCCCTTGCTTAGAACTGCTCTCTCTTCCCTTAAATTTGAGTCATTTCTCAAGGCTCAGAGATCAAGTTTCACCTCTGTGAGAGGTTGCCAACGGTGTGTCAGTCTTTTTTTTTTTCTTTCGGTGTGTCAGTCTTATCTTCCAACTAAGTGGTTGAAAATTGTACCATTTTGGTTTATTTTTACTTAATTTTCAGAGTAACTAGTCGGGTTC